ACACTAATGCTTAATACATATATATATATACACACACACACACACACACACACACACACACACACACAAATGATGGGGAAGAGAGGAGGACGTTGTGCCTTGCATTCTGTAGTGCATGACCACATAAAATAAAAAGATCTGGGGATATACTGCCTCAATTAGGAACCATCAAAAACTGCACTGCTTTGCAGTTTATGCCTTTAAATTGTCTATGGTAATTAGATAACAACATATTCAGCCAAAAGCTTCAAAACAAAACAAAAATCCATAATGGGCCATGCTTGTCTTTAAAGACCAAGTGCAATGAAGGATTTCAGCTGTCGTTAAAAAGCAGTTGCATAGAATTAAAGTGCTATAACCAGCAACAAATAGCCAAATTAAACCTGTATAAAACAGCTTTGGCAAATTGCAATAAAGAAAACACTGGTTGTGGTCTGTTATGACCTGTAGCCAACAACGTGCTAGTATTTGCATGCGTTCAAGGGAGGTGTTTGTGTATGCAAGGATGCACAATCAATATTTCCGTCTTACTGTAGCATTTATGAGAAAACAAAAGACAAAACTAACCCTAGAGCCTGATCCTTAGAGACGGTTTAGGCCAATATTTCTGTAATGATTTTACACAAATTATTATACTACGCAAACTGAGCCGCTGGGGTCATCTTTCCCTCTAAGAAACACTTTTGAATACTGCCTCCAGCTTGGACAGTTGAGCAAAGGTGACTCATAAATAAATAAATAAGTAGGTAATATACAATAATTTCCGACATTACATTACATTATTCAAGTCAATATATGTAGGCCTAAAACCACCAACACAAAATAAAAGTACTTATACAGTCCACTGCCATAAAGTATTAATTTGTGCATCAATTAAAAATAAATTTTGGGGGTGAAAAAAGAAAAAGAAATTCAATGCGAGTTCTGGACAGGTTTATAAACATTCCGCTGTTCTCGCACAATGTCTACTACCTTGAGCAAATATACCATTACATAATGGATTGTGCAATAAAGAAGCAATTTACGAATGCTCGGCATTGCTGTTACGCATGTTATGGAGATGATGAATTCACTAAATGGGTTTCTGTCTGAAGAGAAGATTCAGCAGTAAACCCAAAGACAGCCAGACGGAAGAATTATGGGTGAACATGAAGGAAAGGACGTATTGTAGACTGCTAACACAAGCAATCTCCTTATATGTGTGCATAGCTCTTTAATGTGAAATAGATATTTGTAAAGAATATTTTTGCTTAATAAGGAACATTTCCATACAGAACAAATATTTTTTTCAAGCCTAGCTGCTCTGCTAATTTCTCTGTTTTTAAATTCACTCCTTT